ATCCCCGCCGAATAATGAGATTAAGGCTTGCAAACGGCATTTTTAACCCTGATGGATGCGACTTTTTAAAACCATTAAAAAATGACAACGCTTATTGTTTCGGTCTCCGAAAGAGCCGTGCCTGCTGCACACCTCGTGCGTCCCCCGCCGTTTTGGTTTTCCCTTCCCTCGGAAGTTATCTTCCCGAGATCTTCCTCTTAAAATCCCGGGCTCTTACCTTGCCTAGGAAACTCCCTCGCGTTAACAAAAACAACAACAACAATAATAACAAAGAATCCAAAGAATTTCTATATTAAAAAAGTGGCTCTGGCTAGGTCTCTGGTCACTAGGTACAGGTCTGAGTCTGTTTTCCTTGGAAATTGGGAGGAATGCTAAACGCCTCGTCTACCAGCGAGTAAATTGTGTGCGGAGCTCTAGGCACGGCTCCCAAGTTGCCCTTTCACCCCTTCACTTTATATGTTCCTCTTATTAAGGAGAAAAATGTTTCAATATGTTGGAATTTGGGGCAAAGCCGGGAAGGAGAGAAAGAGAATAGAGAGTGGAAGGACATTTTCCAAATAGTTTTGGTAACCCTTCTGAGGGTTACATTTAAAATTGATGTCGTACGAAAATCACTGGAAGTTTCTCCCCCACGTTAGTACAAAATATTATCTGCTAACCCTTCCGAGATGGCAATGTGCACCAGAAGCGTGACACCGCTGGGAAAAAGTATCCCTGACTTGAAGATGGTTTTCCTTCTCCTCCCTAAATGTGTTAGTATTTGATAACTATTGTTAAGTAGCTAAAAGGGTCTGCAGCTTTCGGCTTGAAGAGAGAAAGGCTGAATTCTTGATCTTGAGAGAATAGGCTTGAGACAATTTCATTTCGCTTATCCAGCCATGTGCATCTGCGAGCTCGGTGGATGTGGTCTGTAGTATTTTCAGTTTTGCTTCAGAGGGAAACGGGTTAACTATTTTCAAGGTAAGAGTCAGAAAAAAATCCCAAAGTAAGGAACGATGATTTTAAAACGGATATTTGAAACTTCCTTATTTTAAAAGGGGATTTAAAGTAGCACTTGAGCTCCACTCAGCGTCTCTTTTCGGCTTGACTCCTCAGCAATATTTTTTTAAGAAAGTTGTGAATTTTTTTTCTTTCTCTCTCTTTTTTTTTTTTTTTCCTTCTTTAAAGTTGCGAGTAGCGCCAGACAGGCTCACTGGGCGAAGATGTCACATAGCCGTGATTAATCTGAGGGAGCAGCTGAAATATTGATAAGGGGAAAACGGAAATCAAATGAAAAGTAGAGGGCACAGAAGAGAGGGAAAGGAAAGCACGTCCTGGAGCTGCGAGCACTGCAGAAGCCCCCTGAGGAAATGCCTGGTTGATGCAGCCTGTCTGGATGGGCTGGGAATTTTAACTTCAGCGCTGCTTTGGATCTAACAAGTTTAATCTCTCCTTTGCAAAACTGCAGCGGCAGGGTAGTAATCCACAGCTGGTGGGGAGTTTTATTTTTGGTCTCAACCTGGATCTTTACAAACTGGTCTGCCACTGGTTGAGGGGAAAGGGTAAAAAAGGTGAGTCATTTAAATCCTAGTAATAAGAATAAGCGAGAGGTGAATCTAAAAGTGCTTTGAGGCCCTTTTATATTTCGGCTGATGCTGGCTGGGCAATGTGATTGATAAATAATCCACAGCAGACTTCTTAAGGCTGGTTCCAAATATGCAGATGTATTTATTTATATGAACATGTGTAATTATAAGAGGGAGGTAAGCGGGGGTGGGGGAACGCTAATCAGGGGCAAAGAGGGGAGCAGGGGAACTCGATATGTGAATCCTTGACCCTAGAAAATTTACTGACTAAGGAAAATTACCTTGTCCCTCAGCTCTGTCTACCCCCACCCCCCATTGCAAGTTCAGAAGCAAAAGAAACTGGAATGTGTTAGGAAGGAGGATGACAAAAAAAAAAAAATACTTATCAGAAACACATTGTCGATTTTATAATCAGTTGCCCTTCTGTGCCAGCTGGCCGCCTAATAAATGCTTTAAAAAACAATAAAAGGGGGATACGTGCAGATAGAGAACTTTTATTTTCCAGAGTTGTTGGGCTGTTTTTGTGTGTGCGCGTGTTTTTTTTTTTTCTTCTTCCCCCTTCCTCTCTCTGTGCTTGTAACTCACAGATGTTTCATAGCAAGGCACCGGCGGGCACGGGGACGCTTCCCCGGCTGCCGGGCACGGCCGGCGGAGCAGCGGGGCCGCGGCACGGGCAGAGCAGAGCCAGGCCCCCGCAGCGTGTCCCGAGGCGTGCTGACCGCTCCTGCACAGCTTCACGCGTGGTTCTGGTCCTGTAGCATAACGCCGGCAGTAAACTGGGGATAAATTCGTGTCTTCTCCCCCACACGCCCCGGGAAAACGGGAGCGTCAGAGCAGCAGCACTAACGAGCTGCATGCTAAGGGGGAGGGCGTGCTTTTAAACGATGCACTAATTGCAGTAAGCTAATCGTTTTCGGGCGCTTTCCGAGGGGACTACAGATCCTGAGAGAAGCGGGTAGAAAAAAATAGTTGTCAGACCTGTTAGTGACTACAGATTTATTTTCCCACACACCATTAAGTTTCTCACAATTGTTGTTAATCTCTGCATCTCTGTCGTGGTGACTTGGGGGGCCGGGGGAGAGGCAAAAAACCTGTTCATCGGGAGATCATCAAGTCTTAGAAATACAGAAAAACAGATGCACCTCGTTGATGCAAGCCTGAGATAAAGCTCCGCTGAGTTTGGGGAACGGCACTATCCAAAACAGAAAGGCTGAGATTGACAACTCTGTGCTTTTTATTGCTATTTGGAATGATACTTCCGTTCGCTATTTTTTAAATTTATTGTTTAATTATTATTGGTGAGAAAGGTTCTTTAAATCAATAGAGGCCGGCAGGCTAATGGCTCGGAATGGTTTCAATGAGTCACGAAAGGCAACTGCCCTTCATTTAGCCAAGTGAAACCCTTGGATACAAGTCAATAGGGTTAACTAGTCTCGACATGAAAACATGAGTATTTCAGCTGGCTTTTAATTGTTGGCTAAGAAATTCAGTTAATCAAATGTCAAACGTTTCCCTCTGCTCTCGTCAAAAGTGAAGAAGGCTCTTTTCCTGAGGGGGTGAAAAACCCAAATGCAAAAACAAACAAACTGTTGTTAAAACGCAGAAATAAAACCCTTCTTTATGAAGTCCTGTATATTACTTAACGTTTAGTTACTGTGGTGGACGTTTTTTCTGTGCCCTTTCTTTAAAGGGTACGTATAAATACCTGATGACTTTTCTTTAAATTTTATTATTTATTATTATTTAATTATTTATTATTTTAAAAACGTTTTGTTGTCTTGTTATACTTAATATTTATATATATGTATGTGATTTTATTTTTCTTTTAATTTCAGGTCAAGTTTAAGACCTTTAAAGATACCTGTTAAACAAGTAAGGATGTTTCAGACTGTGCCAGACACTTCGTCTTACGTCAAGGTAAGACATGACAGCATCTTTAAACAGGTAATGTCAAAAATTACAATCCTTAAAAATTTGTAGTAATTTGTATTAGTTGAAAGTCTCATTCCCATTCTCACTGAACTTAGCAGAAAAAAAAAAAAATCTTTTACCTTCTGTGGGAGAGGGGTTAGTGTCTGAAGTATCACAGTTATAGTTCTGGAAATATGCAGGGCTGAGTCAAAAGTTGAATCATCAGGAAGTAACAATATGTTAAAGTGGTCTTGCCTTTTATAAATTATTGATGCTTGGTTTGGTGGATTATACTATAACTACTATTATAGTGAGAGTGTCCTGAATTTCATTATAGTAGTGGTTTCTTACTCTGAAGCCAATATGATAGCAGCAGCGTGCTACCAATATTGTATCATAGTGGTTTCTTAATTTGGTTTCCAATTTTCTGATTTCCTAGATACCATTTAGTTTTGAACCAAACCTAAATTTAATTTAATATCTGTCTATTCCTCTGCTGCGCCAGCCACTGAATTCAATATGCAAGATGATATGAAACGTTCTGGTTTTGAAAGGTACATTTCTAAATGGATTTAGAGGGGGGAAATATTTAATGAGCTGAAGCAAAACATCTCTTTCAGTTACTGAAGAAATGAATTGTCACAACACTTTGTAATTCTGGCATTTCTTCCACAATATTACTTATGTTTTTCCTTGAGCAATTCTTCCATACCATTCAGTAGGCAAATTGACTTCAATTGGTTTTACTGGTGATGGCTAATGCCAGATACTACTAGATGTTGCTCTCTGAATAACTGATTATCTATGTACATTTTCTTAATTAAAAAGTGAATCTTAGAATGTATTTCAATGTGCCGCTTCTGCCTCTTTCATAAGATTAAAACAAATTCCAAAGAAGAGTTGGCACAGCCTTGTCCCTTTATAACTCAATCGAGTACTATATTATATTTGACATCATATAGTTTTTTTTCCACAACAGTTCCCAAGAATGTAAATAAACCAAGCCTGGGACATCTGGGTTACACGTTTAAGGCAAACCCTGCATGCAACAGCACTTAGAGAAAATCTAAAACACAAGCCTCTTCTCTCACAGGCTGAAGAAACACAGAAGGGTGTTAACTAGAGCTGGGTGGATAATTTGTAATGAATAATTTATTACAGGAATTCTCTCTCCCTCTCTCTCTCTCTCTCTCTCTCCTTTTCCCTTAGTCAATGATCCATGCGCCAATTGTGATTTTCATGTACCTACACATTATTGAAAGTGATTCCCTGAATGATTTCTGTGTATATTCCCTAGGCCACAACTCATTTTGTGGGCAGTTTGTTAGAGGTATTAGTATTGGAAATGCAGCTTGGTGGGAGGGCTCCCAGGTCAAGTGGAATTACTTGTATTCCCCAATTGGGTGAACTTGTGGAGCTCTCTGGACCAGATTTCTATAGGGAATTTTACTGGGAATGGTCAAGATTCCAGATTCAGTTAATATTCCCCCAAATCACACTCATAGCTCAGTGTTTCAAGGAATGTTGATGATTTAATTTTGTTTATTAAATTCATGTAGCTTTGGACAAGATTCCAGAAGAACATAAACTCTGTGGAAAACAAATGAAATTAAAGTCTCATGAAAGCAAATTCACTAAAAGTTCATGTAAAGGAATAAGTTAAGTAGTCTGTGCCTGGCTTTAGCAATAATTTCTCTTTGGAGTTCCTATGTGTGGGAAATGATCTTAGATGTGCTCTGTTTACAATGAAGAGATGAAGGCTCTTTGACATCCTATATTATGGTATCATTGCCTTTTGTTGTGAGGCTAGATCCAGCTGCTGTTACAGTTAGTAGCAAGATTCCTTTTGAATTAAGTGGAACCAAGATGCAGGCCTAAATAATTTAACATTCCAATGGGACTGAGTGAGTCAGTCCATAACTGTGTCAGGATAGCCTTCTCATTAAGTATAATCCTCCAGGCAAAGTGCTTGGACAATGTTCTCTTCATGTAAGTATTTGTTTTATCTACCAGGAAGAACTTGTATGGCTGGACATACATGCAGCATTTCAGCAAGTGGAGGGATAAGTGAACAGTGTGATGCTGAGCTCTCTGCCTTTTATTACAACCCTTCGTCATCAGCTGCCATTATTTTGGGCAGGGGCCTTGTCTTTGGCATTTTGCCTGTAAAGCTTCATTCACACCAATGTCAATGGGGAAATTACTTGTTCCTCTGCTTAAAAAACTCAGCAGGATTTTGACAGAAGTCTCATAGGACTGATCCAAAGTTCTCTGAAGACAAAGGAGATACCTCCCACAGACTTCGAGTTTCAAGTTGGGCAGTTCAATACCAGTGGTGCAAAAAGGTACTTTAAGGTCAGCAAAGTTGTTCTTAAAAGTTAGGAGATGCTTAAATACGGGAGAATTGGAGCCTTAAAAAACACAGGTCAGGTCAATCTTTGGCTCCTCTGAATTTGGTGACAGTTTCCACAGACGCCAGGGCACACAGAACAATTCTGTGACTGGCTTACTTGCAGAAGAGACAGGACTGCCTAATGATTGAGGCAGACAGCCAGGAAACACGGGTACAGATACAACCCTGATGGGGTGGGCTTGGTGTTCCTGGGCAAGGCATTCCAACTCTTTGTTCCTCAATTCCTCCATCTTTAAAGTGTGGATGGAAGTGCTGTGCAAGAAGGAGGCACTGTTCAGTTTTTAGACAGCATCTGCCTTCTCTTTCCTGCTTCCCCTCACTCATCTTTGACAACTTGACAAGTCACGGTGAGCAAAAAGTTTAAAAAGTGAGAGATTAAGTTCCAAATCCTTCTCTTTTTCCATTTTTGTTCATGTCATTCCATCTACTGAGGGGGAAAAAATTTTGCTTGTCTCATGGGAGGTAGGGACTCAGTATTTATTTATGACTTCCATGGAATCCCAGCTCATGACATGGTACCTCCATCCTGCAGAAGAAAATCACAATTGGGAGCAGTGTCTTGTATAAAATGTCTTTAACAAGTGTATAATACATACATATAAGTGTTATGTTTATTCCATGCCTTGTGCAGAAGAAAGCCTCCTCTCTGTGTGTTGCAGATGAGAGGGGGTTGCTAGCAGGGTGTTCTCCAGAAGGCCTAGGAAGAACAGATCTGCTGTTGTACCCCTGAGGTACAAAACAGCCTATGACTACCATCAGGTCACAGTTTTTCTCACCATGTTTTTTAAAATGCAGAAGTGTGAGGTAGGACAAAGATGCTGGAGGAGGAGGAGTTTCTGGATTTTAAAATGGTTTAACAGGGATGGTTTGTGTTGAGTCATACTGGCAATGTTCAGCTTGCCAGTGTTGTAACCTTGATTTATGTCACAGGACATGTGGGTCTGCATCTACAGCACTGCCAAAAGATCCTATATAACTTCATGACAGCACTACTCATTCTCTCTTGTATCCCTTCTTGTATGGGCCTTAACACAATAAGGGAGTAGAAAATCATAAGTATAAAATTATTTACGATCATTTATGATTACTCATTTGTTCTACATCATGGATAAATTGTTTCTGTTCCTAAAAGCTGTTCTGGGACTTACTGATCTGCAAATAGTTAATAATCTACTGTATATCAGAGGGTCCTAATCTCATCTAAACATGAGTATTTGACTTTAGAGAATGAAACATGTAATATAATTGAGAAATTAAATTTTGAAAGACAGCACTGGAATCCTGACTGCAAGGGTATGGAAAGAGTTAGGACTATAAGCAAAGCAACATGACCTCTGCATGCTGCATTTTTAATTACCACTGCCACAAGCTACTCTGGGCCACAGCAGTCTTGACTCTCCTCCTGTGCTGCTGCCTGCGCTTTAATATGTGAGTAAAGACAGTGCAAGAAGAATCTGGGGAGTCTTATTCTTTCTCTTTTCTTTTGCTCTTGGGAAACATCCAAACCCTTCTCCCCTCCTGGCATGGATAAGTCACTGCCTCTGCTCCTGGTGCCCCAGCGCTCAGTGCCCAGGTTCCTGCCAGGCACCACCCGTGGGGACAGGGAAAGGCAAAGAAGTCATAGAAGAGGGCGTTAGGGGTCCCTCCTCTTCTTGAATGTCTGCAAATTGTTGCTGGGGTGCAGGAATCCCCCTTCTCGCCCTCTTCACCTGCAAGACTCCCCCTTCCCCTGAGCTATCGCGTCAGCGCCTCCTGCTTTCGTGCTCTCCTTTCCAGCCTTCCCCTTCCAAGGTGAACCTTGCTAGGGGTGATTTTCCCTGGGGTGTCCCGCATTAAAACACTGGCTGACCTGTGCAGAAAATGGTCTTCGGGCAGACCTCTGAACGGGAACGAAGACGGTCTTTTGTCCAGCCTCGCAGAGATGGGAAGAAGGAGCCATCGTGCAAGCGCAGGACTTCTCGCTTTAAAAATGGATTTCATGCAGCCATAATGTTTGTGGTACCATACAAAGAAGCATATTCACGAAGGCAAAATGGTCTGGGTGGCTGGAAACAATATTTGGTTTGTTCTTGCTTTCCCTCTGCCTGGAAGTTTACAGAAGCCCCAAAGATTTTTATTTTTTTTTTTTCTTGAAGGACAAAATAGCATGATTTTCTTTGGAGAGGGCAGTGCGAAGGCCAGTGACAAACCCTGACACGGCCGTGCTTTCCCTCCTACTGAAACAGTAGCAGCCAGAGGGCTGCTCCGGGCACAGGTTGCAAGGAAAGAATCCCCCAGTATTTCGTGGGTGGATTTTTTTTTTTTTTTTTTTTTTTTTTTCCCAGCAGAAATCTTGCGGCAGGGAGGATGCCTAATGCCCAACGGAGGGAAAGGCTCTGCAGAGGGACTCGTGCAGGGAATTAGCTGCGTCCCACAGACATGCGTGGATGCTGGAGAGGCAGCAAATCCACAGCACACCTTTAAGAACATCTGGAGAGCTGAGCCTCGCAGAACAGGGGAAAGCAGAGACTTGACGGACTGTTTTTTCTTCCAGCTCAGGTAGATTTGTCCCTGCCGAGGGGATCCTTACCCATTCCTGCTTCTTTTCTTTGCAGTTCCAGCTTGACGTCCAGCCTGACGCTGCCGTCAGCTCTTAAGTCTTGCTCACCCCGAGTGATGATTAATCCGCACATACACCGAATCGTTCTCCTTTTCTGAGGCAGAAACGCCGTTAAGTTGTTAGACTTTAGCAAGTCTTTGATTAATGCGTCCTGACAACTCGCTGCTTAAGGATTTAGCTCTTGTTTGCACCCACCTCTCTGCTTTAAAGGGGAAAAAAAAAACCCTTCCATTTCCCGGTGCCTGGCAAATCCTGCCCGACTTTTACCCGTGGTGAAGGCAAGCCCTGCGTGGGCAGGACTGGCATTGTTTCTTCCCCCTCTTTGCCCTCAAGACACGATTGGATTGAAGTCGAAACGTCGTTTCTCCTGGAAATGTAGCACGTTGCTCCTTTCTAAAACAAACCAGGCTGTCGGGCTCAGGGGACAAGATTTTACACTCGGTGACTCCCGCCCCGCCAGACACCAGCATTCAAGCAGCCGCCCCCCTCCAGCTCTGTGACCTCCTAATGGCTCCATTCTTTCACAATTTACAGCAAAACGCTCCCCACCAATATGCTGGGTCCGGTGGATTTAGTATTCCAGCCTTTCGCGTGCTTTCCCAACCCTGTGTTTAGAAATAATGGGGAGGTGTGGAGGGGAAAGGGGAGCAAAACGGGAAGAAAAAGAAAGTGAATGCTAAGGGGGAAAAATGCTTTAAATCTTTCCTGCAAATCTCCAAATATATGAAGTCTGAGGAACAAATTCAAAGCAGGCATGGACGCCTGAAGAGAAGTTAGAGAGAAATATTCTGTTCCATTCAAGCGCATCAAGGGTCTAGCTGAAGTCTTGTTTGGCTAAGGTCAGACGAGACTGGGTTCTCCAATAAAAATAAATCTCAAATTAATTATGGCCTCAAGCGAGGGGCCAGACGTTTGGAGCTAGTGCACTGCCGTCTGTTTTTTTGGCCTTCAGTATTTTTGTTTTTTTGTGCTTAGCTTTTCAATAATTGCGGGATGGGGGAGGAAGGGAGGGCGGGGGCTGTTTTACTGGGACATGGAGCTCAAATAAAACTAGCCAGGACACTGCTTACCCACTCTACGCGTAATTGCGATGCAGCTTCAAAGCTACTGCATCTTCTCCCCGCTACTTTTAAGACATTATGTTTTACTTAACGCTGATTAGCAGTGAATAACTTTCCGGCGTCAAGTTCCCAAATCCCATGGGCTGTTGCTCTGGACCAAGAGGCAGCAGGGACCCGATCCTTCACTTGTAGGGCTGGAAAACTACTGATTCCTCTTTATTGCTGTAGCTGAGAAGCAGAGGTTTGCCCAATTAGTTTAGTTTAAAGTGGGATTCGTTTCTGGGGATCAAATCCCAGGGCTGTAGTTTGGGCTTTTTGCTTGTAAGAATGTGGGTTTAGAAAATAAACAAAACACGTTACGTTTTTCATTCTGCAATGCAGTCGGTGCCAGAGGAAACTCAGACCAGGAAACTTTAAACATTCGCTGAAGCCGGTGGAGACTTTCCCTCTGGTACAGACTGCAGCGGGACAGACTCTGCAAGTACAGCTCCGGGCGAAGGAGGAGGGCAACCACAGTGACTACATTTATAGAGGACAGTGTATATAAAAAGGTTTATATATATCCGATATACCCAGCGCAAGGAGTGTCAGTACACGTAGAGAGAAGTTGGGGAAAAAAAAAAAAAAAAGAGGATCCTGACCCGACTTTGCAGTGACCAAGGCCGGGCATGGGAGGCTGGGGGAGCGGGCCCAGCTGATGCTGCTGGGGAGGAGGGCGAAACAAGCCACCCCCGCCCCCTCCTCCGAAAAGAATATTTCTAACCTGCAGCTGAGGCCCGATAAGGTTTTCTTTATGCCTATGCCTATGGAATAATTAGATGGTTTTAACTAGAAAATGATGAGCACTAATCCCGCGTGAATTATTGGCAGAAAATGCGCATCTCTGGGGTTATGTACTCCCGCGAAAGACTGGCAGTGAACTACACGGAGGGGTTAACTCATTTGATGCTGGATGTGAGATAGCCTTGGCTCCCTCCGGTATGGCCGTATTAATTTCAGTGGGATCTCACCAAACCCGGTGTTTTCACCTTCTCTGTGTGAGGCTGCAGTCGGCGTAACTCAATTATAAGGACGAAGAGAGGAGGCTGGGGGCATGCCAGGCGCTTGAGATCAGTATTGAAACAATTAAAAACTCCGGACGAGAATTTCGTTTCATTCATAAGCACAGTTAAAAAATAATAATCGAGGAGCAACTGATTTCTACCAGCCTGTCCCAATGTAAGCATTTGAAATCTTCCGTGGTTGCCAAGATCAAATGGTTTTCCAGATGTCTGGTGGTAACCACATTAAACGGCTCACAATTCCTTTGCTGTACATACATATGCATCCAAAAGCGGAGCATCAGCTGCGTTTCCCTGCCAGGTCTCACTCGCCCGGCTTTGCCCCTCGGCAGTCGCCGGATGATCACCTAGCGTGGTTCAGAGCCTGGCGCACGGAGTTTTATTTTAGGAATATTGCAGCCTTTCCCCAAAAGTTTGAGATAACTTCAAGGTTTTTTGTTTTGTTTTGTTTTTAAAGGGGGTGGGAGATGAAGCAAAAGCTCTATTGTTACGTTATTTGGGAGGCGAATAGCAGATTGTCTGTTACAGCGTTCAACAACTTCGCTCGCCACCTGATCTCTTGGACTTTTCACAAATCTTTTTGTGAGACCAAACGCAAGAGGTAAAGCAGGGAACACCCCGATGGGTCCAGTCTGGGTGACCCGACGGGCTTCATTCTGAGGCATCCTCAGACATGCAAAATAAGTCCCTGGGGGTCCTGGTGCCCGTCTGGCAATAAAATGCGAAGTCGGGCTCCTAAAATACCCCTAGGTGGGACGGAGGGGTCTGCCCGACATCCGCCGCTCTCTGGGAGCACCGGGAGCGACGGCGGGCGCTGCGCTGGGTCCCGCAGCGGGCGGTGGGGGGCAGGATGCCGGGCTCCCCGCCGACCCCGCACCTCGGGGTGGTTTCTGGCTGCGGCTCTCAGCTCCCCGCCTCTCCCAGCCCGAGAGAGACCTGCCGGGCACGCAGCCCACGAACAAAACGCCCCGCGAGGTCCGCGGAGGACGGAGGCTCCTTTCCACGGTGTTTCCCTTCGCGGTCAGGATGCTCAGCCTGTCCTTTCCCTCACCCCCCAGCCCACTTTTTTTTCGGGGCTGGTGGAGAGCGCTGTCTAGAGAGGAAATCATTTGGGTTTTGAAAGGATGCGTTTCACTCTTCCCTTTAACCTCTTGCTTTTCTGGTTGCTGCAGCCATGTGGTGAGGCTGAAGGGGGAGTGGAGAAGAGAGTGGCTGCGGGGGGGAGAGAGCGGGGAGGGAAAGAGAGAAAGAGTAACGGGGACAGCAAAGGGTTAAGCGTGATTTCTTTAATTGAACTCCAGTTCTTGTGGCCCTAGGCAAGGGGGGACCTGACCCCGCTAGCAGCATCCAGATGTGCTGCTCCCCGGGGACCCCGCGCAGCCCCCTGCCTTGTGAACCGGCGGGGGAGGAGCGGGGGGGCCCGGGCTGTCCCCTCTGCCCCCCTCTGCCTTCACCTCCCGGCTGCAGGCGGCCTCAGTCGCTGGCAAGCAGCAAGCAGAAAGCTCCAGGTCTGGTCACGTTCAGCCCCGTGTCTGCATCTGAACTCCCAAATTGTAGCTGAATTGATGAGGCTAATTTCGGAGGAGGGGGGAGGGCGGGGAGGGAGGGGCAAGGGGAATCTACGGCTCTCTCCTGCCAGCTTCGGGCTTGGAGAAATAAAGTATTAATAAGGCATCCCTGCCGCAGCCGAGTAGAAACACTAGTGGCATTATTGAATTTCCCTTTTGGAAGGGGCGGGTGCAGAATAACTTTGGATATAATTTTGATTCCCCCCCCACCCCGCCCCGTGGTTGGACTAAAGACGGGGGGAAACAAAAAGCCTGGACACAACTGGCACTGGACAAGGTAATGCTCTCCACCGAGAGATCTGATGTTCAGGAGTGCCCTCCTGCCTTGACACTTTCTTTCTTGGCTTCACCCTCCCTATTTTACACCCTCTGTGCTTCTCCTCGGGCTGCAGCGGTTTGCAGAAGTGGGGAATAAAGGACGCCCAGAGCGTTGCATGATGTGTTCCGCTGCTCGCTGCTTGTTATTTTTGCAGGGGGGGAAGTGGAGCTGGACAGGCGCGTATTGTCTCCTTTCCTCGGGTCCTTGGGAGGGTTTTAGCCTTGTCCGGAAAAAGGAAAGCGCGTTTCTTTTCTGGCGATCGCTCCCGTTTGAATGAAAGGCAGAATCGCACGTCAGGGCTCGCCAGGTCGAAAAAGATTTAAAGGCTGGCGTGTTGGGTCGGTTTTACTGCAGTGCCCATTCTTACACGAAATTTCAGGTGTTCTGACAATTATTTTTTTTACTTTTTTTAAATTTTTTTTCTTCTTCTTCTTCTTTTGTTTTTCTTCTCTGAGTGGGGTTTTAACAGCTTAGCAAGGAACTGGTGTTAAGAGAGGAGGCTGGAAAAGGTGCTCCCAGCCCCCGAAATAAATGGATGGGGACCCGTTGATCTGAGGTCTGTGTGATTAGGAACCCCTATATCCCAGCCGTGAGATGACTGAGAGTGAAGGGGACAGGGGTGAAAGTGGACAAGAGTTTCCACTTTCCTGCAGCCCCATTTCCAGCGTGGCTTTAATTGCTGGAGTCATTTGTCTGTCCTGCATTACTGCACTCACCGTTCCTTTCTGGCAGGAGCGGACCCCGGCTCACGCTCCTTTCTGCAAGCCCTGCCTTGGGCGGGCGTGAAGAGGGGCCACGTTATGTTTTAAATACCTTTTAATCGTCAGGCTCTTCTTTTTCTTTCTTTCTTTCTTTCTTTCTCTCTCTCTCTCTCTTTTTTTTTTTTTTTTTTTTTTTTTTTTTCTCTCTCACCCTGCGTGCTCCGACTGAATTGTATTTACTGTTTTCTTCCCTTCATTTTTGCCTGTGACTGGAAAACGCATTAATAAAAAAATCTGTGGGAAGAGACGGAAATTCAGTGAGTCAGGCTAAAGCTGTTCCAGCAAGAGAAAAAAAAAAATGGCAAAAAACATGTTAAACTAAACTGTGGGATGACACAGTGCTCACTAATACGGGCTGGGGTGCAAGGCAAGGTCTCCGTCGTGCTGGCTGCGCTAGCGACAAACAAGAGCTGACAGAGGTAGCTATTGTTCTGCCCCTTCTTATCTAAATGGAGCAAATATCCTGTATGTAAAATATATATATTTTGATCAAGAAGGCAGGACCAGCGGAGAGACGAAAGTTTCCTCCTCGAGTGACTTCACTTCCCAAAATTAGCAGAAAAAACGTTTCATCCGGTTAACTGTCTCTTTTTCGCTCTGCTGCAACAACCAAAGTCAAAAAAAAGAGAGGCAGAGAGAGCGAGGGAGGGAGAGGGAGAGAGCCGGAGAGGGGATAAGCGGAGGAAAGTAAAATCACTGGGAGGACAGAGAAAAGTGAAAGAGGGAGAAGAATAACGACTTCAGGAGGCTTCGGTTGCAGGCTAAACCGGGTCAATGTGTGGAATATTGCTGGTACCGGCTGGAAGTTATTCTAGATGGACGGCACTATTAAGGTAAGGGCTGCAGGGGCCGGGGGCCAGCTCCGGCCGGGCCCCCTCCTCCCGCTCTGCCGGCCGGGGCTCTCCCACCCTCTCGGGGCTCTCCCACCCTCTCCTCCCTCCACTCCCTCCCCTTCTTCCCTCCGTTCCCTCCCCGGGGCTCGGGGGCTCCGCGGCGGGGCTCGGAGGGCCCCCGGGAGCTGCCCGGCTCGGCGGCCCGGCAGTGACAGCTCCTGGCTCCGGGCTGCCAGCCCCCGGGGCCGCCGGGCGCCGCCAGGGGGGCGGCTGGGGCCGGCGGGGCTCGGAGCTGCCTGCCCCTGGCGGTTCCATGTCAGCCGGCTCTGATTTCCTCGCCCGGCCCTGCCCGAAGCGCGCTGCTGGGTCTGCTGGTGTGTTGCCTCTAGCAGTTTTGGGGGGGGAGAGCGAGGGACCGGGCGGTTTGGAGGGGAAACATCACCCTAGCTTGGGGCGAGGCAGCGGGAAGGGGAAGCAAAGAGTGTGGCAAAAAAACCACGAACATAACCAACCTCTGGTGGCCTTGAGCAAGCGAGGACTCTGCTGGCACGCTGCTGAGAATGGTTCCCCCTCCCTTTACCCCCACCAAACCGGCTGGTCCTCCAGCCTTTGCAAAGATGAACCCAGCCTTCGCCAAGTCCCTCGAGGTGCTGTTTCCCAAAGCCCAGGCAGCAGCGGGTTCACTTTCTTGCTTTGGGGGCCCCTTGTGCAATTCGTACGGGCTCTTCTTGAGGGAGCGCTGTAGTGCAGGGCAGCTCAAACAGAGCAGCCTTGGAGCGAGAGACTCTGTGGGTGTGTTTGGGTTGGAGGATTTCGAAAGATGCCTATCGCCTGGGTGGGGTGTTGATCTCTTCTTAAAAGTCTTTTTTTTTTTTTTTTTTTTTTTTTTTTTTTTTTTTGCTGACCTGGGGAGAAAGAAGCTGCAAACTGGCAGGAACTGAAACTTTCTCCTTTACATTTCAGCTTGTGACAAGTGCACTGTTTGGAAGGGTCTCAAGAGAAAGGGGGAGGGAAGGAGATGGGTAGGAAGAGAATATGGAAAGAGGAAAGAAAGAGGGAATGAAAGGGGAAATGTCAGAAAGGAGGAGAGAAAGCAGGAACAGTTGAAAGCACAAAATTTGAGGTATGGCAGGAATAAAGCACATCTCCCCTACCACCTCTTCAGCTTTGTAGCAAAAGTAACCCAGTCCTCATTCAGGATATGCTTAGTGCACCGCAACCTTCTTTGATTTGTGGCGCCCTAAATATTGCACAGTGAAAGTGCAGAAATTTCCCATCTGCATGTTTGCTGTGGTGCACACATGGACCCGCTTTTCTTTGCATGCCACAAGCCCCCCTGCAGCATCCTCTGAAAGGTGCTGATGTGTTGCCATGGCCCAGGTAGCCCATGGTGCCTACTGGGAGCTCCTCCTCTCCCCTGTCACCCTGCGTGGCAAAGTGGTGTCGCTGTCACCCCCAGCCCCCTGCTCTGGAGATGAGGAACTGCGATGCTTTGCAGCTAGGACCGCAGTCATGCTGGGGAGGCTGTGGCGAAAGGAGGAACTCAGCCGCATCCTGGGTCACTGCCCCAGCTCCTGGATCTGCCCACTGACAGCTGAGCAGCCTTTTGTTATGTATTGCTGCTCCACTTGTAGTCCAGAAAGCATTTGGCTGTTTGAGCTAAGAGAGGTGGGATCCTGGTACACTGGAGTCTCATCTTGGGTCCACTGAGCAACTCCAGGATCATCAGCAACTTGTTGCAGATCCCCGTCTCCTGTTGAGCTCCTCCCGTAACTTACCACTTCTCTGCACTTTGCACAAGTGGTTGAAAGCTCCTGTAGTGTCCTCAGGATTATAGGAGATTTCTTGCAAATTTTCTTGCTGGGGAGGAACGAGTGGTTTCCAGGGAGTGTCAGACCCATGCACTGGCAGATTTGCTGCAGTTTACCACTGAAAGGAAGGGGTTAGGCCACCTTGCCTGAGTTCTCTCAGGTGAAGGGCAATGAGAGAGGATGTGGCTTGAGATGCTTCAATGTTTTTAATGTGCTGAGCTCTCTATATAATCTGTGCCTTGGGGTAGACTTGCTAAATTCTAGGACATAGTAAACAAACCTGTACTGTATTCAGGAGACTGCAATTTAGAAGCAATCGTACCCTTCAGGTACCTTTTCTGAAGGCTGTAAGCACTGCTTTCTCTCAAAGCTGTGCATTCCGGTTGGTAAATAATATGGCAGAAAAGATGCATATAGATGACAAAGATGGCAAGAAAAACAGAGGAAAAGGTTCTTTTGTTATTTAGATCAAGAGTGGGCTGAGGGGGCAGATGTAATTGTGTGCAGGTGTGGTTCAGAAGTACTTCACCCATGAACTGAAGTATACCTGGCTGTGTAGAAGGCAGTGCTGTGCAGCTCTGATCAGAAATGTTCAAGGGGTACACCTTGCAGCTGATTGCCTTCCTGAGCAGCGTGAACATGACGAGTGACAGTATTTTGTTAAGTCTTTGCAAAACTCTTCCATGGACTAATTGCTTTAATTGAGCCAAGGACTTTTAACTGCACACTACCGATGTAGAAGGAGCCTGAGTCCAGTCTACTATAAAAATGCCTCCCTTCACCCTGTAACCCACGGTGCTGGGCCTGTACTTGCCTCTTAATCTTTTTATGCCATTCAGAAAGAGCTTGGACAGTAGACTTTCTGATGGCTGGTGTTGCATAAGTGGAATAATTTAACTATAAAACTGCCCAGTTGCAGGGTGACTTTGTACTAAATGGGTAGTTCTGCTGTAGCCTTGAGCTGTCTTCAGGGCTTGCTGCATGCTCCTGGGGAATGCAGAGCGTGGCTGGAGGATAGATGTGGTCGGGATGATCCTGGTCTACACTTGCATCCTCCATGTGGAAATGTGAGTTGAAGTTGTCAGGGTTCTTTACCCCACAGCTCAGGGAATGTCGTGCACATACAGAGATATTAGGGGGGATCAGCTCCGGACTGTAAGTCTTCTTTCCTCATCATGCCCTGGCTTACGTCACGTCTGGCATTGCTAAGCCAGCACACCAGCTCCAGAATGCATCTTTGTTTCTTCACAAATAATTATGTATTGCAAGGGGAGTTATTTTAGATCACTTGCTGAGGTGGTGGGAGGCAATTTTTGCTGCATTCTTCAAATAATCTGTTTAATACCTGACATTGGAGTTGGAGTGGCTGGTTTGAAAAGTGACCTCTACATTGATACATTAAGGTCTTTTCTGCAGAAAGAAGTGCAGCAAATCTTTATTTTTATTAATTAATTTCCATATTAATTCCACATTCTGTGAACAACACTTGCAGAATATGATTAGGAGCCAAAGAAACTGATGATGGTTTATGTTTGGATTAATTTTAAATAATTATTTTATTTTTCTTGTATGGCTCCAGACACTTCAAATCACATCTTCTTTGGGTTAACATTCTGCTTTGACTTAACTTACATTGTGTTTTAGGGGTTTGGGTTTTTATTGCCTCAAATTAAATCAAAAGAGGGTACATCTAATGTCAACAAGATGCCCATGTGTGGACTTCCTCACAATAACAAATAGTGTGGTTTCAAACTGCTTTAATCGTTTCAGTTCCACTTTACATGTGGACTATAATTAAATTAAAAAAATAAGCATGCCCAAGCCTAAATGTTAATAAATAATAATAATAATAAATAAGCACAGTTTGTAACTGCTGCCTTCATTCTGTGAAAATATGTTTATCCTTATGCTCTGGACATAAGAGACCATCTGAAGGACATTCAGTGAACATTTTGCATTACCAAAGTAGATGACAGCTATACTTGTCTCTTTTTCTTTCCATGAGAAGACAACTGATGTGCTGGTGTTGCTATAGCAAAGGGTGGGGTAGGGTTTCTATTGCAATCACTGTTTCTTGTCATTCGTGAACTGTAGGCGTTCGCTCTTGTCCTGAAACTTGGCCATCAAGATCTTGAACTAAGGACATGTTTCCTTTTTGGGCCAGTTTAAATGTCTGTTTTGCCATTTTTAAATTGCCCTGGCTTTGGCCTTTTAGAGATGGCCTTTCCTGGCAAGAAGGCATTGACTCGCAGGGCAAGAATCTGAGTCTCCAGAAGGAGAAAACTCCACACAGATGTTTGTTCACTGCAGGCTTTCCATGTTGCTGTCCCTCAAAAGCAGTTTTGAATAAAACCATCTGAAATTTCCAAGGCATAAATTCTGTGTTCCCCGATAACAGGGTCACTGCTTAGGTGACATATATAGTGCATGACGGCTTCTTAAGACACAACAGCAAAAAACTGTTAGAAATGTTTGGTAATTGGCATATTTTCATAATGCTACTTCTCTTACTGCTTCATTTTCCCTCAGCAATATGTGTGTAAATGCATGCTTTCTGCCTCAGTGTGAGCTCGTGATCATGCCATTGTGCTGGGTGCTGCTGACTCGAGGTGATTGGTACTAACTCCTGTTTGCTATGCGAGTAAAGCACTGGGGAAGTCTTTCCAGAGTCTGTAAGCCGAGTAGCTCTGTTGCTCTGTACTAGAATTGTTCCTGCTATGGGAAGGAAGATTAGTCTGAAACAAACCTAATACACAACAAAACAGCACAACTGCTTAGATTTTAGGCACTTGGGGTTTCACTCAGAAGCTTTAAAGAGGTGCTGAGAGCGTCTTAGAGCGTTGTCTCTGCACGGCTGTGGATTTTACCCTAACAGGATGTGGTCACTTTGAGTAGTAGCATGCATGTCCTGAGGATTTCATGCTTTTATTTTAGTTATTTATTTTAATTTCATGATACTCCTGCTGTAGGCTGGGGGGAGGTCCAGCTTCCATGACTCCTTGCAGCATTTCTTCTATGGAGAATGTTGCTGGAGTCTTAGTGTGAACGAGTACAACTCTTCATTAGACTGCTATAAGAAAAGGGCAGAAATCAAGAAGAGCAATGAGTAAGGTTGCACTTCACACCTCACTAAAGTAAGGCCTTAGATGACATGCTGATAAAGTGAGGTGTGCTGGGGGTAGGGCATTTATAGCAATTTTTGCAGAAACAAGAATTTATTCTCTTCAGGCGTCTCCTTCTGCCTTTAAAGAAGGCTTTCCTCTTGATTTCAGTTCACACCTCAGAAGCATCAGCCCTAGAACTTATGAACATGTAACTGCATGACATGGAGCATCATCCAGGCTTTTTCTCCCTGTAAAACATCAGTGCATGAAGCTCTTCCACAGCGCCCCGTAGATTGCCTTAGAAAAATGAAAGTTTCTTATTCTGTTTGAGTTTACTCAACTACTTAATGAAAGACTCTGTGTCCCACCTCAGTGCAAACATGCACAAGCAGGAAAATTAAAGGAGCCGAGGGAGCCTTAACTTCAGATTTGTAGACATTTGTGGGTTTGCTAGACACCTCACATTGCACAAACATGGTGTTAGTGCTGGAGCAAGCATGAATGTGTGCAGGGCTTGCCTAGAAGAGACAGGTCTAATATTTTAAGCTTAAGTTGTACAACTTGGTTTGAAGCCAGCTTTTCCCCCAAATGTAAAATTCTCTTTAGATCTTTTGTTCTGAATTGAACAACAGATCCATTTCCAGTGTCTGCACCTCTCCTGCTCTCATGCACATGTGAACATGAGCACACAATGCATGCATAGCACCGGTGGGTAAACAGAGCTGCTTGGAGTGCACTTCTCAGGTTGTACAGTCTTGTCATACTTCCATGGGTGATGCCTAAGTACACTTTCTGAGTGAACAAATGTTTTCTTACAAGACTGTGAGTGCATATTTATAGCTGTTTTTGAAAGTAAGGACTAAAATATCACAACGCAAATGTGGTTTTCTGCCTTCTTTTGGAAATAATTTGCCTGGTGGCAGACCCAAGTC